TGGTCAGGATCATGTTGAGAATTAGTGCATTTTCCTCTCATTTTTCTTCAGGGGAGCTCATGTCCAGCACGATGAAATGTAACCTGAAGCAAAAATGTGAGTGTGTATTTGAAGGGAAAGCTAAGGAAGGACAGCCAACACTCCTCAGTGAGATTTACACAGAACTCTACATAACTGAAGGTGGGACTGGAGGAGTCAATGATGAACATGAAGTGAGACAGATTGAAACAGCATCCAAGAAAAGGCGAACAAAAGATACTACAGTCAAGTGCAATGATATATTTAAACCCTTTTGTGGGCGTGAGACACCTATCAGAACTGTACTCACTAAAGGGGTGGCAGGTATCGGGAAAACAGTCTCTGTGCAGAAATTTATTCTCGACTGGGCAGAAGGAAAAGCAAACCAGGACATTCACTTTATATTTGCTCTTCCTTTCCGGGTCCTGAATTTGATTAAGGATGAATACAGTCTGATTGAACTGCTTCACCGCTTTGTCCCAGAACTGAAATCATTTCAATCCACTGAGCTGTTTAGGTACAAAGTCTTGTTCATCTTTGATGGTCTGGATGAGTGTCGCCTTCCTCTTGATTTTCAGAACAATGAGAGCTGGTTTGATGTAACAAAGAAAATGTCACTGGATGTGCTGTTGACTAACCTCATTATGGGGAATCTGCTTCCATCCGCTCTCCTCTGGATAACCTCCCGGCCAGCAGCAGCCAATCAGATACCTNCCGGTGGTGATGCTCTCCTAGGGCTCCACATCAGCTAGGACCGGAACTGCTGTACAGATATCTGGGGCTTCAGTAAGAATATGTAGGATGTGGAATTTAGAGCTTAATTTGAACACAATGAAATAGTAAAAGGTGTTTTACTAAAAGGTGTGTGGGGGGGGGGATTAGGTATCCCAACAAAACTAACCTGTTATTTTTACGGTGTGGGGACCATTTCTCAGGTCCCCACAAACATCTGTGAATGTGATCAAAAAACTAAACATGCCAAAAGTCTCCGATCTTGTTTGGTAGCTTATAGTTAAGGTTACGGCTGGGTAGGGGTTAAGGTCGTCATGTTTGGATTAATGTCGTGTGTTTTAATCCTCCTACCACACTGGTCAGGATCATGTTGAGATTTAGTGCATTTTCCTCTCATTTTTCTTCAGGGGAGCTCATGTCCAGCACAATCAAAAGTAACCTGAAGCAGAAATTTGAGCGTGTATTTGAAGGGATAGCTAAGGAAGGACAGCAAACACTTCTCAGTGAGATTTACACAGAACTCTACATCACTGAAGGTGGGACTGGAGGAGTCAATGATGAACATGAGGTGAGACAGATTGAAACAGCACCCAAGAAAAGGCTAACAGAAGATACTACAGTCAAGTGCAATGATATATTTAAACCCTTATGTGGGCGTGAAACACCTATCAAAACTGTACTCACTAAAGGGGTGGCAGGTATCGGGAAAACAGTCTCTGTGCAGAAATTTATTCTCGACTGGGCAGAAGGAAAAACAAACCAGGACATTCACTTCATATTTGCTCTTCCTTTCCGGGACCTGAATTTGATTAAGGATGAATACAGTCTGATTGAACTGCTTCACTGCTTTGACCCAGAACTGAAATCACTTGAATCCACTGAACTGTTTAGGTGCAAAGTCTTGTTCATCCTTGATGGTCTGGATGAGTTTCGCCTTTCTCTAGATTTTCAGAACAATGAGAGCTGGTGTGATGTAGCAAAGAAAATGTCACTGAATGTGCTGTTGACTAACCTCATTAAGGGGAATCTGCCTCGAAACACTCTCCTCTGGATAACCTCCCGGCCTGCAGCAGCCAATCAGATACCTCCTGACTGCATCCACCGGGTGACAGAGATACGAGGGTTCAGGGATTCCCAGAAGGAGGAGTATTTCAGGAGGAGATTCAGTGATGAGAACCTGATCAGCAGGATTATCAGACATGTGAAATCATCAAGGAGCCTCTTCATCATGTGCCACATACCTGTGTTCTGCTGGATTTCAGCCACTGTGCTTAAGAAGCTTTTTAGTGAGACTGACAGGGGAGAAATTCCAAGTACTCTGACTGAAATGTACACACACTTCCTGATCTTTCAGACAAGTTTAAAAAAAGACAAGTATCTGAAAAACTATGAATTCAAGCTTAATGAATACAGCAAGGAATTCCTTTTAAAACTCGGTAAACTGGCTCTTGACAACCTTGAGAAAGGCAATCTCATATTTTATAAGCAAGATCTGACAGAGAATGACATTGATGTCACTGAAGCTTCAGTTTACTCTGGAGTGTGCACGGAAGTCTTTAAAGAGGAATATGGGTTGTATCAGGATAAGGTGTACTGCTTTGTGCATCTGAGCATCCAAGAGTATCTCACTGCTTTGTATGTGTTTCTGTCAAACTCATCAGCTGACTTGCTGAAGACTGCAGTGGATCAGGTATTAAAGAGCAAGAATGGACACTTGGACCTCTACCTCCACTTCCTCCTGGGCCTCTCAACAGACTCCAGTAAGACTCTGTTACAAAGGCTACTGGGACAGAGAAGATTCAGCTCACATAACATTGGGGAAACAGCACAATATATCAAGGGGAAAATACAGGAGAATTTATCTCCAGAAAGGACCATCAACCTGATCCACTCTCTTTTTGAACTGAGTGACAATTCTCTAGTAAATGATGTAGAAAGATACCTGAATTCAGGAAACCTTTCAGCAAAACGCCACTCACCTGCAGAGTTCTCAGCTCTGGCCTTTGTGATGCTGATCTCAGATGAGGAGCTGGATGTGTTTGATCTGAAGAAGTACAGCAGATCAGATAAAGAGCACTGCAGGCTGCTGCCTGTGGTCAAGAACTCCAGGACAGCTCTGTAAGTGACGTGGGGATGGGAAATCATGTCTAGTCTGGCAACTCATATGCGCACCAGTGAGCAGGTGAGATTAAAATGCTCCTGGCTTTGTGCACCACGTCTTCCAGATTCTGCACAGCCTGAGAGGAATCAGGGATGTACGTACAACCTCTCCCCACTATAGCACAAACACCACCTTTCTCAGCTAACAGAATATCCAACGCCGTACGGTTTTGCAGAGCCACCTGCTTAACCGCGAACAATTCACCTTGCACGGCCTGTACAGTATCAAGTGTCTGATTGGCCACCTTCTCTACTGCTGTCTGCAGGGCAGCCACCTCAGTCTGAAGGTCTGACACTCCAAGGGATGGAATAAACACCCCAAACCACTGTTCAGTCCAACTCAGCGACCGCTTGCTGCGTGAATATGCACGCACAGCTCCTTGGGCACCACGCGAATAGGAGGAACAAGATAAGCCAGATAACAATACCAACCAACCTTCGCCGTCGAAAGNGCAATCTCATATTTTATGAGCAAGATCTGACAGAGAATGACATTGATGTCAGTGAAGCTTCAGTTTACTCTGGAGTGTGCACAGAAGTCTTTAAAGAGGAGTATGGGTTGTATCAGGATAAGGTGTACTGCTTTGTGCATCTGAGCATCCAGGAGTATCTCGCTGCTTTATATGTGTTTATGTCAAACTCATCAGCTGACCTGCTGAAGACTGCAGTGGATCAAGCATTAAAGAGCAAGAATGGACACTTGGACCTCTACCTCCGCTTCCTCCTTGGCCTCTCAACAGACTCCAGTAACACTCTGCTACAAAGGCTACTGGGACGGACAGGAACCCGGTTTCATAACATTGAGGAAACAGCCCAATACATCAAGGAGAAACTAGAGAGGGATTTATTTCCAGAAAGGAGTATCAACCTGTTCCACTGTCTCATTGAACTGGGTGACAATTCTCTAGTAGAGGAAGTACAAAGACACCTGAATTCAGGAAGCCTTTCAGCAGAATACCTCTCACCTGCACAGTACTCAGCTCTGGTCTTTGTGATACTGATGTCAGATGAGGACCTGGATGTGTTTGATCCGAAGAAGTACATCAGATTAGAAGATGCTGACTACTGGAGGCTGCTTCCTGTGGTCAAGAACTCCAGGACGGCTCTGTAAGTGACGTGGGGATGGGAAATCATGTCTGGTCTGGCAGTAATACATTAACATTGTATTAAATACATCTAATATATTTCTTTTCAGTTCTGGATGCTGTAGGAAGCATTTCTGTAAATTCTGGGTGTGGCGTGTGACTCTTTTGATTCGGACCGTGTGTCCAGAAGGTCGCTGGTTCAGATCTCCTGGCCGGCAGAGTGATGTCATCCTTGAGCTGCGGGGGTCTGGATGCTGGCCGACCCTGTGCTGTGACCCCAAACTTCCTCTCACCTGTATATGTGTCGTGTGTCTCTTGGAGAGCAAGATGGGAGATGGTCCATTTTCGTACCTACCCTCACCTATGGTCATGAGCTATTGGTAATGACCGAAAGAATGAGATCACGAATACAGGCAGCCGAAATGAGGTTTCTCCGCAGGGTGTCTGGGCTCTCCCTTAGGGATAGGGTGAGAAGTTCGGATATCCGGGAGAGCCTCAGAGTAGAACCGCTGCTTCTCC